CCGCCCAAAACAGTCCACGACCTCCAAACCGCTGAAGTCTGAGTGCTCCATCAGCGCAGCGCATACCTTGGGCTTTGTTTTCACAAGATCCCTTGGACTGCGGCACCAAAAAAAGAAACGCATCGGATCAAGGCACGTCATACAAGATCTGGGAGATCATGCAACATCATGCAACATTTAAGGCTTTTCGATTGGCTCTTCAATCCAGCTATATAATTAACTGTCTTTGCAGGTTGACCCTTGATGCTGTCAAATGCTGTCAAGCTACTTCGTCCTGCCCAGCTGCCGCTGCATGGTGCAAGGCCGTTTGACCATCGCAATCTGCTGCGCTAGGAGAATTGAACAGTCCTCATAAACACGCCGCGAGTTCTCATAATATAGTATATTATATATATATGTAAATATCAAGATGCGTGAGCGGCAGCCAACAGGCAACCCTAATTATAGAATTAGTTATGTCACATATGATTATGTCTGTGTTCTGTGTGGTGTGGCTTTGGCTGGCTTGGTGTTAAAGATGTGGTAGGGGCTCTCGATCAGCAACAGGCCAAGTGTCGGTGGTTCAATAGCAACCGGCAAACGTCTGCATGTCCAGCCCGGGCTGCCATATGCAAAGCCTTGTCTTGCAGTTCTGTCCTGTCGTCATTCTCAATCCCTCATCAAATTAACGCTCTTTCCTTGCATGGCTAGGTGTAAACCTCCTTTCCATCCTACACCTCGGAATCTTGCACTCCCGTATAGCCAAAGAGGCTGTTCGGAGGTACCGGTCCGGGCTATTGATATAGTGCACAAAGTTCGAGTGATCCTTAAGTTGAAAAGGGCCATGGAGGTAACATTTGTCCAATAAGAGCAATGCAGCAACATGAGAAGGGACGATAAAGGCATCTAAGACAGCTAAATAGAGACAATACATGTCCAAGCACGATCAAACTAAGAGAAACGGAAACCACCTCCAGCTTCAACCGAGTCAAACCAAGTCTCTAAAAGCATACGGGTAATAGCAGCAGACCCTCTGGACGCGGCACAATGGAGGGCAGTACGTCCATTGGAATCTTTGACGTCCAATTGCACCTGACAAGGGCCAGGGGCTCGGCATGGCTGGGCTATCCATTTCTTTGGATTTGGTTCCGGAACATGCTCGAGGGGCCCATGAGGCAAAGGTCGATCATTTCGATCCCCTATTGCCGTGGTGTCACCTTCAATTATTCAACGCATACATCCGAAGAGCCGTCTTCCGTATATCCCCTGGTTCCGTGACCTCTGTGGGCTTCCCCATCGCATCAGCGCTACTGATCATCATCAATGCCTCAGTTCATGGCACCACAAGACCAAAGAACCAAAAGCCACATGAGTCACGCGAATGACTCCTGCATCACAAATCAGGGTGGAGTTTGACATCACATGACTCTTTCAGAACTCTTTCATGACTCTCATGGCACCACCGGGCCTTGGGAGGGAGCAAATGCGCCGTCGGACCGTAATGCTATGTGCGCACCACAAGGTGTCACGGCCTCACGCCAAGATTCCTCGGCCTCATCTCCAAAGGCCACGGTAAAAAGCAGGCCCTGAAGCTCCTCATGCAAAAGCCGCTGCCAGCCAATCAGCAAGGGCTGTAGTAGAAGACCGCAATCAACCAGTGCAGCATAATTAATTATACATTACATACAATGACCATGCACATCAGGATTTTCACTGTAATTGTCAGTGCTTTACTTGCGGATGCTTGCTCTAAAGTGTATGGGTTTGAGTCCTTCAGATCCTTCTACCTGCAGGATCCCGCAGGCCTTTAGGGCCAAGTCGCGACTGCATTGACCGCTGGGGCCTCCAGGTGGCTTCTCAAGAAATGCTCTTCCACATCATCGTAAAGCCCTCGAACCTGCCCCAGCAGCATGTGAGCCACTGGCAATTGCATAAACGCCGCCCCCCCAAATCTAGTTACTGTATACTGTATACATTAAACAGTATACCCGATATATATATATATATATATATTATGTATATATATATAAATACATCATTATACATCCACTTTGATGTGAGCTGGGCTAAATACGTATGATTAAACCCCTAATTATGTCGTATAACTTTCGTACGCTCCTGCTTACGCTTCTTACGCGACCACAATGTGAGCTTACGCACCACGGATATTGAAGAAAACCTTACGCAGATCCAGATCTTTCGCAATTTGCATTTTCACACATTGACATGAGAACCATACTCCCAAGGGAAATGCTTACGAGAAGGCTCCTTTTTGCAGGTGAGCGGGCGACAAACACATGATCACTAAGACCCCGAAGCAAAGGAAGCAAAGGATTACTAGCATCTACTTACTGGGTGCCGTGGGCTAGGGTAGGCAAATGGAAAGTTGGCTTACGCGAACCTTACGCCACCAAGTCCTCAGCAAACGGAGCCTGGCATGTTATGACATGTTATGATGAGAACGGTTTGATATGTTATGACAGAGTGGCAAACACAAAAAAAGCACAGTGCACACACCTGAAACACAGTGCGCACAAATGTCAGTTTCCAAGGGTTTCAAAGCTCTCCTGGTCCATACAGTTCCTTTCTTAACAGGTGTGTGCTAAGAATCTACCAATGAAAACACAACCAGATGGCAAGCTTAAGCAACATGCATGTCTCACAACTCCCATACGCAACCTTACACTTTTCAGGCTTTTGCTTACGCCCAAGTTCCATATGACAAGGCCTTTACTTAGTTCATCTTGGGAGGTTTTTAGCCTTGCTCATGTGAGCATGCATACAAGCATGCTCTCAGTGCTGATTCGTCATCCATCAAAACCACAAGCCTCGCATTCCAATTATCTTCACCAACATGATCCCTTTCTTAAGACCCCTGAAGTCACAATTCTACCCATTTTGCGTCTATTCGAGGTCTCTATGTGTGTCTGTCCATTCTTGCCGTGAAGGCCAAGCAAGCAGTGTATTCCGCCAGACTTGGTCCGTGCTTCAGGACTCTGCAAATCTCCCAGGCACCCCTCCTCGCTAGGACGCTCTGCCAACTTCTCTTGGCACTCTTGGTGTGAGATCAGTGGCGGTGGTAGGCGCTCATCCAACCTTCCAGGCAAACACACTCAAACATGGTTGCTCCAACATCACATCCGGCATCTGTATGGGATCTATCGCCAATTTAAGCCTCCTGCATGTCATACACTCAGCCCGTGTTAGCCAAGAATGCACATGTGGCATCTACCCTCACATCCTCCCCAACGTGTCCCTACCTGTTGCTGATGCCTATCGGGGCCTGGTTTCTACAATTCACGCTGCCATGCTGCAGTTTCGCACCTCTTCATAAATGCGAGAAGCTTGGTGACAGTGTCCTTGAGGCCATCCACATCCTGAAAGAAGGCAAGCAAAACCAGGTGCACCAACGCATGAACAGCGTCGTGCTATATCAGTGGTCAATGACTTGGGGCTGATGAGATCATGCAATCCCTATCAAAAACAAGCCGTGCACACGCATGCACATGCTCTCACACAACCATGATGTCTGCAACTGAGCTTCGTCATCTTTTGATTGACGCCAAGCTGGCGGCACACATCCTTCGCCGCTGCAATTCAGACTTTGTGGGGAAAACTGTGCATGCAAAACGGCACAAGTAACAAGTGCCTTACTAGTAGCAACAAGAAGCTACTAGGAACAAGTGCATCGCTTCTAGTAACAAGTGCCTTACTAGTAGGAGCAATGTTCGCTACTAG